TTTAAATTATTTTTATTTTAAAAATTATTTTAAATAAATTCTTTCTCTAAGGGTAACCAGCATTCATAAGCTTTCTAAAGAGAGAGAAGAAGCCTGGAGTATTAAGATAAATGAAAATATAAAAAGTCAAAATACAACTGTTTTAAACTAAAGATGCTGTTGTCTTAGTGTACTGTAATAGTCACACAACTGTAGAAGTGTCCCAATGACATACTAGTGGTTTATATGCTATAGACTAATATCTATGCTTCTATATGATAAAGCTGATGGTAAAATATTATAAAAATTTTAAGATTTCAGAAGTCTTATATTTCATGCAAAACAGGTATTAATCATAACCTAAACATAAATTAAATTAAATAGATAAAATTTAATAAAGTTCAGGGAACCAGAAATCTATAGCTAAAGTGAGAAACTTTGAAACTCTTCAAGTAAATGAGGACACCTACTAGAAATTGAAAATCTTTGAAAATTCTTCTGGCAAAAGAAAGAAAACATGGGCAAGTACTTGAAAGTCTTAATAGTCTCCTCTAAGCTCTAAGGTCTGAGAACCTAAAAATAGTATTTTTTCCAATTATTACTTTAAAAGTAGATAATTTTTTTTTTCAATTAGAGACATAAATTTGTATTATACTCCCTTTTCCCCTAGAAAGCAGCCCCATTTACTTTTTACCATTGGAAACATATTTTCCAGATTCTTTGTATCAGGGGTCACTCATTAGTTCAGTATTTTATTAGTCTCAGGCCTGCTGTGAATAAACATAGAATATAGGAAGCTTTGGGTCCCAAGATTATTGTTTTTCCAGAGGTTCAGCTAAGTGCTGTCATTAGTCTAAGCAAGTCCCTCAAATCAACCTTAAACAAAGCTCAAAAATAAGTACAGTGATGTATTTGGCTCACTGTAGACTTATTTATTTTTCCCTCTAAAAACAACAACTAACAATATATTTAAAAGGGGGGACATCTGTAATACTTTAAATAATAAAATATTAAAATTAAAAATAAATGAAATAAATAAAAAACACAGTATTTTAATTATATGCTAGAAGTCTTACATTATTTGGTAATGATAGTAAGTAGTTTTTTATATTTTTCATTTTTTGTAATATAATAAGGATAATAATGGTAATAAATGAGGCCAAAATTAAAGCTAATTTAATAAGTAAAAGAAAATATTTATTATTAATAGACCAGTGTTTTAGGGACCCCATTGCATGCAAAGCAGTGCATATAGAAATACTTTTAATAATGTATCATATATATATATTTTTAAACTATGATTATACAGAATATTTGAACACTACTTTTATCTTAATTGCTTACCATCTCTTTACTAATAAACTCATATTTTCTTTTGGATTTTCTGTCTCAAACAGGTTCATGTTGGTGGTGTCTTTCCTCTAATTTTTTATATCATCCGTGTCATTTCTCAGTGGTTGCTAAATGGACATGCTACAGCTCCTGTAAATTTTCAGGGTGGTAGTGGGCATATTTAATACCCAGTGGAGATTAAAGAATTGTCTGGCAATCAACCTTCATAGTCATTAAAAATAAAATCTATCCTTGGCCAGTTTGGCTCAGAGGTTAGTTCTTCAGCCCGCAGACCAAAGAGTCTGGGGTTAGATTTCAGTCTAACCTCACTTGCAGTTCAATCTTAGGCCCTGGTCAGGGTCATGCAGGAGACAACCAATGGATCTCTATGTCTCTGTCTCTCTCTCCTTCACACCCTCCCCCCCTCCCACTCTATCTGAAAATCAATGGAAAATATCCTTGAGTCAGGATTTAAAAAAAAAAATCTAAAAAGAGAAATAAGCCAATGTAACTTTAGAAAAAAATGAACCAATAAAAAGACTCACTTTGACAATTATACAAAAATAAAAACTTAAGTAAGGAATAATTTATCAGTTTTAGAAATATAGTTTTTAAAGTTAGTAAATTTTATAGGAAGTATATAGTATGATGTGCTGAGAAAATATTTAGGCAAGAGGAACTAAGTATATAACATTTCAATTAAATGTGAAGCTGTATGACTGAGTTGTTGGGGAGGTAATGAAAAGTATCAAGTTTTCTTGTGTCATATGAGTGGTATAATCTAAATTCTATAGTATGGAAATAAGATCGGGTCTTTTAGGGCTAAAATGATTGGAGAAGGCATTTTCAAACAGGTGATATTTGACTGGGGCCTGAACACTTTGGTAGATATTTCATAGGGGAAGATATGAGAGAATGGGACTGCAGTTGATAGTAACAACAAGCAAAGGCAAAGAGCCTAGGGCAGGTTGATTTGCACAAAAGAAGAGAAAAGAAGAACATGGAAGGTGGAAATTAGGAATTAAAGAAATGCTTCACACTGAAATGTTTCTTATGCATGGCTATTTTTGCATTCTGATAAGACATAAATCACAGTTGCAACAGGTTAGACTGCATGGAAGAAAAACCATCTGAAAAAGAAAATTGCTGACAAATTTAAGAGGAATCTCAGAGCTCACTGACTTGCAACATTTTGCTTTGCTTCCAAACTGTCTTACTTCCCAAGGCTCCTCATAATCATTTGTTTCAATCCACTTGGGCATTCTGTTCTCAGAATAAGAACAAACTTTTCCTACCTCTGCATTTGCTATAATATAACAATCTTCCCAACAATTCAGAGCAAATTGAATTTAGATTGCACAACTTACATGATACAAGCAACCTCGATTTATAAATATGTATGCATCTATTTGCTCTGTCCTACAAACATAAAAATCCTTAAAGTCAGAAACCACGCAATGCAATTTTTCATGCCACAGGGTTTTGTGTTTTCTTAGGCTAGTCTACAAAAACAAAATCCAACTCACAGTATAATGCTAAATACATATTTGCTGAATGAATGTGTTCTACTATTGATACATTTTTCATGCCCTTCATGTTTCTCTTTATCCTTATGAGGCAATCCTTATACTGAACCCAATTTTTATGCTTAGCTTCTAACTCTTGGAAAATAAAATGACTGAAACATACCTAGTCTCACCCAATAATGCTTTCACCATAAAGGTAAAAAGAAGCATCTAGGGCATCTAGGAATGATCCTAATAAGGATGGGCAAAGGAAACAATTTAAATGTCTTTCTGATTTACCTACTTGAATTAGAAGGCAATATGAGGTTGGAGGAGGGAAATTGAGCTGCGGTCAAACAGTCTTATACTACTTGATCTGTTTAATTCCACACTGTAGGTTCTGGGGAAGAATGGGTAAAAATTAAAATGATGGCCCTGGCCGGTTTGGCTCAGCAGTTAGAGCGTCGACCTGCGGTCCAGAGAGACCCGGTTTCGGTTCCTGCCAGGGGCCCTGGTTGGGTCTTGCGGGTGGCAACCACTCGATGTGTCCCTTTCACGTCGATGTTTCTCTCTCTCTCCCTCCCTCCCACTCTATCTGAACAAAATATGGAAAATGTCCTCAGATGAGGATAAAAAAAATAATAAAATGATGGGTTTTTCTGTTAGGCTGTATTTTAATTTGAGGGGATGGTTTGGTATTCTGTAACAGCTATGAATATTTATTTTTTAAATTCACCATTCTGATTTTTTAAAAATCCACATGAATACAAATGGAATTCTTTTAAATAACTGTTCAAAAGGTTAATTTCCTTTTTTAATAAACCTTCCAGAATAGGGATGTGGGCTGTTGTTGGAACACTCTTAAATCCAATTAGCTGTTACGGCAACCAAAGCAAGGCACTGTGAGAAAAGGGCTTCAGAGATTTGGATCTTAGGTTTTACCCATAATTATACTCAAGTACTTTATTTGCCAATTCCCACTCCAACAACATTTAGATCTCTGGAAATAACTTTGGAAAGTAGATAGAAGCCTCTTTTAGAGTAGAAAGCCACTTAAAATGGCTAGGACTAGGGCGAAGCTAGGGAAGCCCTCTCCTTAGGCACAAAATATAAGGGGTCACCCTAAAACTCAGTAATGAAGATACCTATTTAATACACTATTTTAAATATATAAATTAATGTAAAAAGTCCATGGTGAACAAAATATCAAAATATAAATAATGACTGGATCCTACCCTGCACTTGCATGGCTCACCTCAATTGCTTCACTTTAATCTCCTGAGTTTTGGGCGCATCCTGAATTTTGCGCCAGAGGTGAGTGCCTTAAGCACTTTATCTTAGTCTAGGATTGAGTCCTGCACACTTTCAAACTCCATTGTATTAGCATTTTTCCTCTGGATAGACCTCTGTTATTACAAACTTCACACGGGGTCCTGTTGAATTCTTGGTGGACTCCCATCAAGTTGGATAATGACAATTATCAGATGTCCCTGCCTTCAGGCACCTCCTGCTCTTCCAGCGCCCCGTTTTGTTGCTACTCTCTACTTGCAAGAGACAGGCCATTTTGGCACCTTCCTTGTGCCAGGGCCAAGATTCTGCTTTGGCGGAAAGTACCCACAAGCAGCAAACAGCTTTACTCTTTTCTACTTGGTGAATGAGCGCATCCCTTTCGGTTAGTTCATCGCCATCCCCGTTCCAAAGGTAGAATGGCAAGACTGGAGACTACACTCACAGTTCTCAAAAGCACGCCCCCCTCCCCATTGAGAAGTAAAAGTGAAGGTTTTGGAGACTGTGGTGAAAGCAGTGACTTTTGCCTGCCATTACACATAAAAGAAAAATACATGATCAAGATAACTCCGGCTTTCCCGCTGGTTTTATGCTGGAGCACTTTGCGTTTTCTAAGTCCGCGTGCTCCTCTACCCCACCAGCGGTCCGAGCTGGCCGCGTACGAGGGCTCCTGGCAAGTCCGTGGACCACGCCCACTGGGTTGGTCACCTCCCCTTATTGGCCTGACAGACTGTCACTCCAACCTGGCTCCCACTCCAGCTAACCATTCACGTAGTTCGGTTGCGTCTTGGTGTTTAATGTTGCCAATAACGAGAGATTTTGGGGGGGAGGAGGGGGGAGAGGCGAGTACAGGTCGTGCTGCAATTAGTTCATTGAAAACTCAGTTGCTCTCGGAGCGGTGGAGCAGAGCCTGCTTTCAGCTTTTTTCTGCTGACTGTTAAAATCTCCTGTAGAGAGCTGCAACAATGCCCAAAAGAAAGGTAAGTGAAATAGAAATATATAAGTGGGATTAGCTACTGAAATACATATTTCCTAATCAGCAGAGAATTTTTTTAAAAAGCATTTTGGCTTCTAGTTCGATTTTTGTGATGTACGGAATGAAATGGGAGGGAAGGGCAAAGAATGGTCGGTGTAAGGTTTAGGATCGTCTCGCATGCAACTAGTAGTTCACTTTTGACTTGTTTTGTTTAAGGGAAAGAATCGCGTAAGAAGTGTCTCCATGCTGAATTACAAACAGCCATAGCGCTGTGCTGTCGCTTCCTACCCCACCCCCCTTACTCCGCTTACCCTATTGGAGAACACTTCTCCCAACCATACTTCCAGGCACCAGTTTCCTCCTCAGCCTCCGGCTTTCCTCTGGGAACCGTCCCGTTTGGGACTACGAAAGACATGGCTTTCTCCCATATTTGCCTTTGTTCTTCCCGTTTTCTTTTTCCTTTTTTCCCCTTCCCTCCTCCACTTCTTGTCATGCCAGATGGCTATGCAATGGTAATTCTGTGCCATTAGGCGGCGCAGACTTCAAACTGTCCTGGAGAAGGGAGAGATTCGCCGCTGTAATTAGCAACTTCAGGGCTCAGAGATCTGGGGCTCTCCAAGCTCTCTGTCTAAGGTGGAAAGATAAGAGAACTGCATCGGATAAACTGTTGTTGATGTTGGGATAGCATGGATTTGTTCATTTTAGCCATGCATAATTGATCTCAGCTACTCCAGGGCTACAGGTCTCCTGAAAACCCTCACTTCAAAATTCGTGGTTCCTGTCTTGGACGGGAAGTAAATTCACTCTCGGTGTTTATTTGTTTGGGGAGAGGGGTACCTTAAAAGTGCAATCGAACGCTTGATAAAATTGTAAAACACTGTCCCAATGTAAAGCATTGTGTTTGTTTTGATATTATTCCTATTTATCCACCCGCCTCCCCTGTGTCTATAGCCTAGTAATAAGATTGAATTTCCCCGGAGCTCTGAGGCTGTGGTATGAATCGTGCAATAGCTTGGTAATTCCCAGGCTAGAGCGCTGCTCAGACACGGAAAGCAATGCTTTCTAATCACCATCCCCCTTTCTGAGATTCCCGCCGCTGCGCTTTTCTAGGCTTGTGCAATGTGTCTTGCTATTTTACAGAGCTGACAGCAACCTTGTCTAGCAGGTAGTGGCGGGAAGTTTTAAAAATGCGGCTGGCTCCTCAGAATAACGCCTTGACGTTGTAACAAAGAGGGCCCCCCTCCGAAGCATTGTGGGGGTTGTAGTTCTTGTGTACAGAACTTGGAGGGGAGGATAGTCCAGACTCCTTAGAGAGGTTCAAATAAGTACAATTGTATCTCAAACAAGGCAAAACAGGGAAATTGTATGAAGCTCCGCCTTCGTTCTGCCCGCCCCCTCACTTTTTTTGCTTTAACACTGGCTACAACAGGTGGATATTAACATTTTAAATGCTTGCTTTTTAGGGGATGAAATGTACACAAACAGATGAAATTGATTGTCATTTGTGTAAACTTTGGGGAATACATTTACATCTTGGAGCACATTTGCCCATTAATAGACAGCATTATTGTAGCATGCTACTAGGAAATAACACTCAGCTACTTGAGCAGAAATCTAGGAAAAAGTCATAAGTGGTTATGTTGCAACTGTAATCCATAGGCAATATTTTCTCATCTACATGTTTATATCGATGACCTTATTTCTGTATGGTTTTCTCCTCTGTATAGGCTGCAGGTCAAGGTGATATGAGGCAGGAGGTGAGTTTCTTTAGTTTTAGAATCTGTCAAAAAATACACTCGTTTTGAAAACTTGAGGCTCATAAGCAGCTAAAAAAGTAAATGCTGGTTCGTATATTTTACCACATGAGTACATATGGTATGTCATTGAGTTCTCTCAAAAATATAGTAGGTGTTGAAAACCCCAAACTTCTTAGAATTTAGGACTTTATTGTGCTTCTTAAGATCTGGAAGGAGCTTCTTCCTTTTAAGCAAAATAATTACTTTGCCATTTTACAAGAAGGGACTATATTGTCATTTTTAAATATTCTCCTTATTACTAGCGATTGTGTTGAGTTAGCCTAGCAATTGAAGTTTAATTTGGGATTTTTTCCCTTAGTTATATGAAGAGTCTAGAGGAGGGAGAAATCAAAACGTATATTTCTACTATGACATTTTTATAACCAACTTCATAATTGCTTCTGTAATGACAATATCTATATAGTGTTACATTAAATATTTTATCTGAAATATAAATAATTCTAATTTTGTGTATCCATACTTCTCTTAACTGATTTTTTTTCACTCATAGCCAAAGAGAAGATCAGCCAGACTGTCTGCTGTAAGTAGTCTTTTTAAAAAGCTGCCCACATATTGTAAAATATAATTTTAAAATTCAGGTAATTATGGAAAATACTATATATATTTTTTTCCTTTGTTGATTTTAGAGAGAGGAAGGGAGAGAGAGATAAAAACATCAATGAGAGAGAACATCATTGGCCAACTCCTGCATGCCCCCCACTGGGGATCCGGCCAACAACCTAGGCATGTGTCCCAACCAGGAATGGAACCGGCAACCTCTTGGTGCATGGGTCAACGCTCAGCCACTGAGCCACACCACCCGGACTGGACACTACTATATTAAATACAAGATTTATTTTTAACCTTTTAAGAAAAAACTCTCACACTAAGGAATTTTTCTACTAGCGTTCAGTTTGAACTATACCCATTTATTTTAATTAACAGGTTGAATTTTATTATCTTTTTTTAATTCTGATTTTTTTTCCATTCTCCCCCCACCCCATGACTTGTGTTTTTTGATGCAGATGCCTGTGCCAATTGTACCAGAGTTGAAGCCCAAAAGAGCATCAACTCCAAGGGTAAATATTCAATGTGCAATGTTGAGAGAAAATTGTTTTAATTCAGAAATAATGTTTTGGAAAGGCATACAGCTGATCGTTTTGTTTCCTTTATTTTCTGTTCAGTTAGTAATATATTGCATTATACCTTATGGTGGTACATGTAATCACTTTGAGTAGGTAATATTTGTTCATGTTCTGTGATTGTCCACGGTGTTTTGACATTTTCATTAGGAAGAGACAAAACTAAATTTTAGTTGGCTAGACCCGTAAAATGTACATACCTTTGACATCATACAGTTACAATACCCATAGTCCTGGAAAAAAAAGGTGTGAACAATAGTAACCAAAGTAATGCTTTTTAATTATTGTAGTAAATAACATTTGATAATACTTTCAGTTTACAAAGTGCTTTCATGTGCATTATTTTTAAATGGACACAATTGATCTCATATAGACTTCTATGCTCTGATGTTTTGACTAAAGATATTGGAAATATAAATAGCCTCAATATTAAGTTTACTTTATCCACTTTTATTTATATTTTTTATGTGTAAATATGTGAATATAATTCAATTTTATTTCTTTTGTTAACTGCTTTATTGAGGTATGATAGATTATTTAAGGATTGGTTGAATTCTTAAAATCATAAAAGTTTAAAGCTATGAGAATACTAGAGTCATGTAATCCCATTGTTTTGTGGGTGAAGAAAATGTATTATAGTCATATTTGTAAAATGCTTTGAAATTCTTGACTAAAACACTAGAACTAAAGCAAGTGACGTTTTAGTAATACTATTAAGTGACAACAGAAGAGAAATTGTTCTTTTTTTCTCTATTTCACATTTCAAGGTCACTATTGTATAAATTAGGTACTAAATATGTAGGTTGTGAAAATAATAAACACTGTTTATTTCCTTTAAAAATAGAAAATATTGCTAGAATAAAACAGATACTATACAATCATGGACTTGAAAATACTTTATGCTCCTTGGCGCTCAGTTTCTATGTTAAAAGAGTAAAAACTTATCTATATTGTATTTTACAGTTTCTAAAACAATTTTCGTACATTTTATCATTTGCTTCTTATAACATCCCTATGAGGTAGGTGGCATTACTTTATTTTACATATGAATGAATAAGCTCAGAGGTTTATGTTTTTGCCCAAGGTCGCATCAAGTAAGTAGCAGATCCAGAATTCAAACATAGATTTTCTGGCCCCTTAACCCAGTGCTCTTTCTACTACATACATACTTAGGCAAAGAGCCTTCTTGGTAAAGCAATCATGATTCAAGTCATTCTAAAAAATTGTAGACACAAAGATTGAATCACGTATGTCCCCCGGTGATCTCTTTCGAATATATCTAAATTGATAATCTCACCAGTCTTTCTCTTAATTATTACCAAAAAAGAATTTGTAATCAACAAATCCCTGTTGCTAATTATTAGACATGACAGAGATAAACTGGCCTCTCAAGTCAAAGAGAGTTTATTAAAGACTAACCTAATGCTGGCAGTTGGCCCTGAGTGGCCACTGTTCAGCATTCTAATTTGTTGTTTCTCATCTAAGAGAAAATTTATTTGATTTGTAGCAGAAGAATATTATTCATTTTTAACATATGAAGAGATTTATTTTTATGTTTATTTTACTTTTTCAATGTAATTGACATTCAATATCTTATTAGTTTCAGATGTACAACTTAGTAGTTAGACATTTATATAGTTTATGAAGCGATTCCCCCCATTAAGTCTAGTACTCACCTGGCACCATACATAGTTATTATAATATCATTGACTATATCATCTATGTTATAATTTACATCCCCGTCAATGTTTTGTACTTCCTTGGGTTTTCCCCGGCACAGCACTTGTCTTTCACCCTGAGGGTGCACCTCGGGCCGTCCAGTGGGAGACACTTTGGGAGTTTTGTACTTCTTAATACCTTCACCTTTTTCACCCAGTCCCCCAGTCCCTCTCTTTTTATACTGCATCAGTTTACAATGAAACTGAATGTGTCTAGTGATGATTGTGTGGATAAAAAGTTTATATGAGTATTTTAAATCTTTCTCATAAATTATTACAACAAGTAAAATAACTTGGGCAATTGATTAATACAACAGTTAAATTGTATGTTTATTTTTATTATTGTGTGTTGCTGGACAGAAAGTGAAAAAAGATGATATGATGGAAAAACACGCAGATACAAGTACCCAAACGATAGATGAAACCAAGCAAGAAGTTGTTAAGGAAGAATACAATGAAAATGCTGAAAATGGAGAAGCCATAATTATAGAGGTACCTTTCTTTTTTATTCTTTCTTTTTTTTTTTTTTAATCCTCACCCGGGGACATTTTACCATTGTTTTATTCAGATAGAGTGGGAGGGAGAGAGAGGAAGAGAGAGAGAAACATTGACGCGAAAGGGACACATGGAGTGGCTGCCACCCCCATGACCAACCAGGGCCAGGGAGAAACTGCTACCGAGGTGAATGCCCTTAGTGGGAACTGAACCCGGGTCTCTCTGGACCGCAGGCTGATGCTCTAACCGCTGAGCCAAACCGGCCAGGGCTAAACTTTCAAATGGACAAATCTAGAGGTATCTCTCAGTTCAGAGAGACCCGGGTTCGGTTCCCACTAAGGGCGCGTACTTAGGTTGCAGTTTGTCCCTGGCCCTGGTTGGTCGTGGGGGTGGCAGCCACTCCATGTGTCCCTTTCGCATCAATGTTGTTTTTTTTTCTCTCTCTCTCTTCCTCTCTCTCCCTCCCACTCTGTCTGAGCAAAAAATGGAAAAATGTCCTCGGGTGAGGATTAAAAAAAAAAGAAAGAAAATTTAACAATAGATGTGACTGAAAGAAATCTTATTTGCCTTGTAGTTTAAAAACAAAAATTGAGACATTAATTTAGTAGTGGTTCTATAGTTTCTTAATCAGTTCAGTCTGCTATAATGAAATACCACAAACTGGGTGGTTTTTCAACAACAAATTTATTTATCACAGTCTGGAGGCTGGGAAGTTCAAGATTAAGGCTACAGTATTTTTGGTGTCTGGTGAGGACTTGCTTCCTGGTTTATAGGTGGCAGTCTTCTCTCTATGTCCTGACATACTAGAAAGGGTCAGAGAGCTCTCTAGGGACTCTTTTATAAGGACACAAATTCCATTCATGAGGGCTCTATCTTCATAACCTAATCACTTCCCATAAAACCTGCCTCCAAATACCATCACATAGGGGATAGATTTTATCATATGAATTTGGGGGAACACATTCAATTTTTTTTATCCTCACCTGAGGACATTTTTGCATTTATCTTCAGATAGAACAGGAGGGGGAGAGGGAGGAAGAGAAAGAGAGAAACATGCGAGAGAGACACGTCGACTGGTTGCCACACGCATAACCCCAACCGGGGCCAGGCACAAACTGCAACCGAGGTACTTGCCCTTAGTGGGAACTGAACTGGTACTCTCTGGTCTGCTGGTCGATGCTCTAACCGCTGAGCCAAACTAGCCAGGGCGAATTTATAACATATAGTATAATAGTATCTAAGGTGAAAATTAAGAAAATGAATTTAAATGTGAGATTTATAGGTATGGGTAGTGGGAGCAATGGCTTAGCTTTGCTATTAATAGAATGATGGTAGTGATCCTGATTTAGTAATATAATGACTCTTATTAAATACTGACTAATTCTCCATTCCTTTTGTCAGCACATGAGTTATTTTGTAAATCCTTTTCCCCAATCACAATTCTTTTCTACCCTGCAGATTGCAAAACAAATTTTTACGTAAATGTTTCTACTAGGTCTTGCTTTGCATATTTAATTCATAAGACATTTTTAGATACTATAGTAAAACACTGAAATTGGAATGAAGTGCCAAATCTACAAACCAAAACTGTGCATATAGGGGACATATTTTTGTAAGTGATCCTATGATATAAAGTAAAAGAGTTTTCAAGTAACTTTTACAAAAAAACTAAATCTCACCATTATAGAAACAAAACACTGTTTATTTAAGGAATGTAATTTTGTTTACATATATGCTACTCATTGAGAATAGCTGGTTTAGAATATGTCATTTTCCTATATTTACTCTTTGTTCATATTTGTAATGAGAATTATTTATTTGAATAATTTTTCCTGAAGTTATGTACCAAATATCTGTTTGTGTGGAGACATTTTAATCAATCCTGTTTCTTAGACTATTTTCCTTGTAATGAGGTATTTAGGAGGCCTTTTCCACAAGAAAATTACTTTTTTGTAAATGAAGTGTTATTTTCATAAAATATATATAATCCTGTCTAAATATTTAGGGGAAACAGTTCTAAATTTACAAATACAATCGTGATTTTTTTTCTCTTACACATAGGAACCAGCTCCTGAAAAAGAAGCTGGGGAAATAAAAGAAGAAAAAGTGGAAGATGTTGAAGAAGAGGGATTAGAAAAGAAAAAGGCAGTGTTATCAGAAGAAAATAAAAATGAAAAAGATCAGAAAGGAGATGGAGAAGACCAAAACAAGGAAGAAGAGAGAAGCGAAGATAGAAAAGAGAATGAAGATGGAAAAAGGAAAGAAAAAGGTGGAAAAGGGGAAGAAGACCAAAAAGAGACAGGAGATGTAAAAGAGGGTGAAGATGAAAAAGGGAAAGGAGATGGCAAAGAGGACAAAGATGAAAAAGAGAAAGGAGATGAAAAAGAGGGTGAAGATGGAAAGGGGAAAGGAGAAGATGGCAACGAATCTGAAGATGAAAAAGATAAAGGAGAAGATGAAAAACAAGCAGAAGACAGAAAAGAGGAAGGAGATGAAAAAGATGATGGAGATGAAAAAGATGATGGAGATGAAAAAGATGAAGATGATGAAGATGAAGAAGATGATGAAGATGAAAAAGATGATGAAGATGAAAAAGATGATGAAAAAGATGATGAAGATGAAAAAGATGATGAAGATGAAAAAGAGGATGAAGATGAAAAAGATGATGAAGATGAAAAAGAGGATGAAGATGAAAAAGATGAAGATGAAAAAGAGGATGAAGATGAAAAAGAGGATGAAGATGAAAAAGAGGATGAAGATGAAACAGAAGATGAAGATACAAACGAGGGTGAAGATGGAAATGATGATGAAGGTATAAATGAGAAGAAAGAAGATAGAAAAGAGGACGAAAGAAAAGAAGAGGAAGATGGGAAAGATGAAAGAGATGGGAAGGAGAATGAAAATAAGGCTGAAATTGCAAAAGAAGTAGCCGAAAAAGAAGAGGTAAAAAAAGAAGAGTCTCAGAGTATTGTTTAAAACTGCCCTATGTAGTTTCATAATTTGGTAATATGTACCTCCATGTTGTAATGTTAATAGAGATAAATATTTTTATCAAATATTTTATAAACACGGTTTTTCTTTAGCATTACCTGAATTTCAGAATATCTTCATACTGATCATTAGCCACAAATTTCCTAACATGAAACCTTTATAAATTTTGTGATTATAATAGTGGAATGTATAGGAAAAAAAAACATGCTTTCAACTTTGTCAATTTCCCTTTGTGTAAGTTATGTGTTAAATCTTTGCATTTTACTTTTACTTCTGTGTGTGATAATTTTATAAAGTGGAGAGTTCTCAAAGGAAAAAATGGTGTGTGGTTCTCTAGGTTGCTTTTTTTAAAGAAGGTGAACTATTTTCATGTTATGCTAAGGAGTTAGAATTATCTTTTCCAAATGTGACTAGTTTTAGTTTGGGAAAAAATAAAATTGTAATTTCATTTTTAGAAGAAACACAAATGTTTATTTCAGAAGGGCAGTTCTGACTATATGTCTATCCACAAAATTTTACTGGATTTATCTTAATAAAATCTTTCTTCAAAGATCATTGTAGTTTGTTATATATCCAAATATATAGTTAATTAAATATTATAATGCTTGATTTTTCTCTATTGCAATACTCATGAAATCATTAAAAAAAAAAAATTTGGCCCTGGCCGGTTTGGCTCAGCAGTTAGAGCGTCGACCTGCGGTCCAGAGAGACCCGGGTTCGGTTCCCGCTAAGGGCATGTACCTCGGTTGCAGTTTGACCCCAGCCCTGGTTGGTCGTGTGGGTGGCAGCCACTCGATGTGTCCTTTTCACATCGATGTTTCTCTCTCTCTCTCTGTTCCTCTCTCTCCCTCCCACTCTACCTGAACAAAAAATGGAAAAATGTCCTCGGGTGAGGATGAATAATAAAAAAAAAATTTGCACCTAGATAAAATTAACAAAAAATTCAGCATTTCAGTGTTTTCAAAGTGTACAATTTAGTTATTTTTAGTATATTCACAATGTCGTACAACCATCACCACTGATTCCAGGCAACTCTACACCCACTGGTCCCTGGCAACCATTAATTTATTTCCTGTCTCTATGGATTTGCCTGTTTTGGATGGAATCACACAATATGTGCCATTTTATATCTGGCTTCTTTCACTGGACATGTTTTCAGTTACATCCCTGTTGTAGCATATATCATTACTTCATTCCTTTTTATGGCTGAATAATGTTATATTGCACCAATATACTACATTTTTTGTTGACAGACATTTGGGTTGTTTCCATATTTTGTCAATTATGAATAACACTGCTGTGAACATTCATATGCAAGTTTTTGTGTGAATATTTGTTTTCATTTCTCCTGGGTACATATCTAAGAGTGAAACCACTGGTTCATATAGCAATACTATGTTTAACTTTTTGAAGAACTTCCAGACTATTATCCAAAGTAGCTTTAGCATTTTACATTCTCACCAGAAACATACGAGGGTTCTAATTTTCCCACCTCCTTGGCAGCACTTGTTATTGTCTGCCTTTTTATTATAACCATATGAGTAGGGTACTTCAGGGTGATCATAATCATGGTGATTTTGATTTGCATTGTTCTAATGAAGTTGAGCATGTTCTCTTGTGCTTATTGGCCATTTGTATATCTTCTTCAGAGAAATGCCTAACAAAGCCATTGCCCATTTTTACCTGGCTTGTATTTTTAGTATTAAGTTGTAAGATTGTATACATTTTGGAGATGTCTCCTATCAGATACAACGATTTGCAAAAATTATCTCCCAATGTATGGTTTGCCTTTTCACATTCTTGACTATCCTCTGATGCACAAAAGTTTTTAATTTTGATTAAGTCCAGTTTATCTACTTTTTCTTCTGTTGCTTGTGATTTTGGTGGCATATTGAAGAATCTGGTACCAAACCCCAGGGCACAAAAATATTCACCCATATAGAGTGTTATTTATAGTTTTATCTCTTACATTTAGGTATTTCATATGTTTTGTATTAAATTCTGTATATGTTGTGAAGTAGTGGTCCTACTTCATTCATTTACATGTGACTATCCATTTGTCCAAGCACCATTTCTTTAAAAGACTATTTCTCCATTGGATAGACTTGACACTCCAAAAATCAGTGGACCACAGATGTATGGGCTTATTTCTGGATTATTAATTCTGTACTATTATATGCCTACTTCTATGTCAGTACCAGACTTTTGATTACATAGCATCAGAAAGTATATGTTCTCCAACTTTGTAATTGATTGTTCAGGGTCACATTTCCATATGAGTTTTAGGATCAGCTTGTTTATTTCTACAAAAAAAAAAAAAAGTCGGAGTTTTGATAGGGACCACAAAAAATATACATATAAATTTGGGGAACATTGCCATATTACCAAAATTGTCCTCTAATCCATGAGCATGGGATGCATTTCCATTTATTTAGGGTCTCTTCAATTTCTTTTAGCACTATTATGTAGTTCTTAGTGTGCAAGCCCTATACTTTCTTGATTAAATTTATTCCCAAATTGTTTTATTCTTTCTGATGCTGTAAATAAAATTGTTTTCTTGATCTCCATTTCAGGTTGTTCATTGTTAGTGTTTAGAAATACAACTGATTTTTTATTACTGACCCTATATCCTGCAATTTTACTGAGCTCTGTTAAATTTAATAGATGTTTTATGAATTCTTCAGAGTTCTCTGTGTATAACACCATGTTATCTACAAATAGAGATTTTTTACTTTTTTCCCCCAATTTGTAGGCTTTTATTTCTTTTTTCTCGCCTAATTGTCCTGGCCTTAAAAAGTCTTTATGTATTAAGAATAAAAAGGAAATATACAAATTCAGAAATCCAGCTTTCAAAGCACAGACCTCTGACTCTACCTCATGCCCAAGTGTGGCAGGCCCTGCAGTAATCAAAATCAACCTGAAAGGTTTGGTTAAACTTCTAGGCACCTTGCCTGGATCCCCCACTTCCTAGTCACATTCTGCAACCACAGAAAATGTACTGTCATAACTTCCAATGCAGAAATTGACCTTTTGAGCACCTTAACCTACATTGTCAAGGCTAAAATAAAAGTAAAAATCTCGGTTTCCTCTTTAAAAACACATTCCAAGTGACAGGCAAAACAATGGTAACAAGTAATCTTAAATTTTCATGTGAAATTCTAATCTTTACATAAAGAAGGTAGCTACCTTCACCTTACAATGTTATTTCAACACTATAATGAAGCATTCATATTACAATAACATGGTATATACTACAGAAGAATCATTACTTCACACCATGATGCTAAAGTAAACTTTCTTCTTTAGGTCTCAGATTATTTTATTTCTTGATGATTTTATTGGATCTTCTCTTTTACACTCAAACTTTGCTTCACATAATTTTTCTTCTAAAAGACTCAATAGTAGTCCGGCAGGTGTGGCTCAGTGGTTGAGCATTGACCCATGCACTAGGAAGTCACCGGTTCGATTCCTGGTCGGGGCACATGCCCTGGTTGTGGGCCTGATCCCCATTGGGGGCGTGCAGGAGGCGGCCAATTGATGTTTTCTCTCATCAATGTTTCTGTCTCTCTCCCTCTTGCTCTAAAAAAATAAAAGGCTCAATAGTAGTAAGATGTGAAAGGAGGAGTGAAGTAGGGGAATGCTTATTTATAGAGGCAGCCTACCATTACAGTAAACGAAAGTGCATATAAATTGTAAAGAACAATCCTTACTCAAGATTTGGATAAATAGACAAAGGTATAAAAAATAGTCTTCAGGGAACCCCACAGAAAAGGTCAAGAAATTCACTTGAAGTTTCTTTAGTAATATGCAGCATCCTCTGTTAACTATCATTGGCATCACAAATATTTGGTAATATATAATACTGACTCATCATAATAATTGATTTTCTGAGTATACAGTGCTGAAATTTTAATCTAAAGTTTTCTGTGACTTTAAAGGGGTTGCCTCACACATAACCATGAATTTGGCTAGGGAAAGCATGTCTTAGGATAAAAAAATTAGTAGGAATAATCTTTGAATTCTTATTATAATTAGATAGAAAAGTATGATTTAATCTATCACTGTACCTAGAGAAAAAGAATATACACAATTATTCAGCCTCATACCTGCTACATAAAGCAAGACCTGCCTTTAATGTTTTCCCCTAATCATATTTAACATGTTACATATTTTTTCATGCTGAACATTGTTAATCCTTATTAACAACTCCCATTTTGGATGGTATGAGAAAGGGAAACAGAGAATGTGCATGTTGGAGCTGGAATCTAATCTCATAAACCATAATATATTATAATAAGTATTATTAGTAACTTACTAAGATCACACAGATACATCTTGACATCATCTTTAAAATCAGGTTTTGCAAATCCTCTAACAGTAATGTTTTGATCCTAAAACAATTATTTCTTTTTAAGATACTATTGCAGCAATTTTCTTAAATCTGGTAACTGTGGAACATGTTGGTTAACATATAGGGGTGGAAAAAGTAGGTTTACAGTTGTTTGTATGAAAAAATATATAAGAATAAATAATAATACAATAATAAACTCTATTTCACATACTCACAACTGTAAACCTACTTTTGCCCTCTCCCATAAAAGGAACAGAGGGGAAAACAAAAAAACACCAAATAAGCTGCAGTTTATAGCCTCCTATGCTTAATTTAAATTAAGTTAAATCTATAACATGACAGGAGGTAAATGATTTGTGTGAAGATGCTTTTCTAAAATAAAGAAAAGATGTTTTAATGTGATATTTTCATTATAGATAAGATTTTTTTATCTTAAAGTATATGGATTTAAGACTTATCATTAATAATGATTGATTCGCCTCTCCTGAATACAATAGTCTTTTGCATTATGTTGACTTCTTTAACTTGGAAAATAGTAAGTAAGCACAGGTCTAATTTTATATGGAGTAATTCTTATTTTTCTCTTACGTAGTATCTCTGTAACTAGAGTTGTTCATTGTGCTTGTTTATTAATGATATTGAAAAACTTTTTAAAATTTTGTTTTTTCCATGTACATTGTCTTTACATATTTATATCAAATATCACATAATAGTATAGATCAAAATGGGTTCCCCTTGTATAAGAGTTAAATATTAAATTCAGAAAATTTAAATATTCTTTAAGAACCAAAACTATGGCCCAGCCAGTGTGGCTCAGTGATTGTCAACCCATGCACCAAGAGGTCTCTGGTTCAATTCCTGGTTAGGGTACGTGCCCCAGTTGTGGGCCAGATTCCCAGTGTGGGGCATGTAGGAGGCGGCCAATCAATGTTCTCTTTCATCAATGTTTCTGTCTCTCCCTCTACTTTCCTCTCTCTCAATCAATAAAGAAAAAAATTTAAAGAATAATAATAAAAAAAGAACCAAAACTATGATTTAGTATATGTTCACAACACACGCCTTTAATCCCATAGCAACTGTATTAAGCAGTCCAGGCATAATGGAATTTACTAAATAATGTAAGTGAATTCCAATGTTCACAAAAAATGTTGTTTCAGATTATATAATGTAGAAATGTGTGTGTGTGTGTGTGTGTGTGTGTGTGTATGTTTTCTAGAGATGAGAGAAAGGATAAATCACAAAGTGAGATGGATGATTTTGAAAGTAGCAATGGTTTAAAAGGCTATATTTTCCCATATAGATTAGGAATTCTTACCAAGGGTTAAACAACTTTAAATATTTAATATATGTAAACATGTTTACTATGTAAGTGCCATACATTCTCTTAAGCATATATATACATATCCATCCACATATTTCATATATATGTAAAATATTTGCACATAACAACTTTACGAGGCAGGTATTATTCTTATTCTCATTTTATAGATTAGGAAACTAAAGCACAAAATCCAATCTGTTTAGTTTACTTGTGGCAAATCCATGACTTCCAGGATTTCAAATAGATTATACTATCTCTCAAACAGGCTTAATCCACAAGCCACTTATGCCCAATGGGATTTTGTTTTGTAAAAATAATCTTATAAAGCTAATGAGAAGTGACATCACTCACCAACGTTACAATTTATTTATTTATTTATTTATTTATTTATTTATTTATTTATTATCCTCACCCAAGGACATTTTTTCATTTTTTATTCAGATAGAGTGGAAGGGAGAGAGAGGAAGAGAGAGAGAGAGAGAAACATCGATGTGAAAGGGACACATCGAGTGGCCGCCACCCACACGACCCAACCAGGGCCGGGGACAAACTGCAGCCAAGGTACATGCCCTTAGCGGGAACCGAACCCAGGTCTCTGTGGACCGCAGGCCGACGCTCTAACCGCTGAGCCAAACCGGCCAGGGCACCAACGTTACAATTTAGATTATTGAATTTATTTAGTTGATAAATATTTATTGAGTACCTACTATGTGTCAGTTAGGTTCTGGGGTAAGATATGTCAAGAAAATAGGGATCTTCCTTGCCCTCATAGATCTTATAGTCCAGAAGAGGAAATCATCATACTTTTAATCACATAAATAACTATATAATTGCAACTTTTGTTAATGCTGTAAGGTAGTTAGAAGACAGTATGACAGAGACTTGGGAGAATCTAGTACTTGTGGGTGGTTAGAGGTGTCAATTTTCATGTAATGTGGTATCCAATCCACTCACTCAGACATATGGATTGGTTAAACTCAAGTGGGAGGTTCTCACTTTAGGTTTCCCATGCAATTAGTGTAAGCACATAGTATCTGAGGTTGGAGTCAACTGAAATCTCAACTGACCAGATATTTAACACTTCTTCAATCAACTGTCTAGCACCTCAGCTTGTTCATCTTGGCTGGTTTTCCACATGGCTAGTTAGCGTTATTGTTTTCCTTCACAAAATGGTGGTCTCAAGGTATTCTAAGCTCTTACAAGGTGGCTGGTAGCTGGTGTCTTGCTTCCCCTAGAATGTGTGTTCCAAGAGCCCCAGGAACAATTCACAAGGTTTCTAATGACCTAGCCTGAGAAACCATGTATTACGTCTGCATAATTGTTGGTCAGAAAGAAAGGTCAGCCCAAATACAAGGGAAGGAAAATAGACAAGGACACAAATACAAGAAGACATGGCTCATTAGGAAGCCATCTTTGAAGATTAGCTACCACAGTGCTTCATTTTCTGTATTCTCTATTTCCAGAATTCCTACTACATGGATGTTGGACCTTCTGGCGTGATTCCTTATTTTTAAAAAATACATTTTTTCTCTCCTATTTTCCTTCTCTCTTTTTCTTCTTTCTGGGTATGCCCTTACATTTTCATTAAAATGCCTTTTGAATTTTATATTCATTTTTAATTTCCATGAGCTCTTTCTTGTTATGTGTTTTTTAAAACATTTTATAGTATGCTGTTTTTATTTCTTAATATAACATTTTCTCTCCTCTGTCTTCTGGTTAATTTTTTTTTCTTCAATTTTTCAATTTCAGTTGACATTCAACATTATTATTATTATTATTTTTTTATCCTCACCCGAGGACACTTTTTCTTTTTTTTTGTTCAGGTAGAGTGGGAGAGAGAGGAACAGAGAGAGAGAGAGAAACATCGACGTGAAAGGAACACATCGAGTGGTTGCCACCCGCACAACCGACCAGGGCCGGGGACAAACTGCAACCGAGGTACGTGCCCTTAGCGGGAACCGAACCCGGGTCTCTCAGGACCGCAGGCTGACGCTCTAACCGCTGAGCCAAACCAGCCAGGGCCCATTTCTTTATTTTAAATTAATGAATTTATTTTTGTTACCGATGTTTCTCCTTTTCCCCCCACTGATTCACCCCCCTCTTCCTCCCCACCCAATCCCCAGCTTTATTGTCCATGTCCATTGTTCATGTACACATGCGTATAAATTCTGTGGTGATCTCTCCCCCACCACCTTCTCTTCTAGGGATTGTCAGTCTGTACCCCACTTCCATGTCTCTGGGACTATCCCATTCCTAACACTGTTATGTTCACTATATTCCACAAATAAGTGAGACCATATGATTTTTGTCTTTCTCTTCTTTGCTTCCTTTACTTAGGATAATACTCCCCAGATCCCTCCATGTCGTCTCAAAGGATCAGAGATCTTTCTTTCTTACAGCTGCATAGTACTCCATTGTGTATATGTACCACTGCTTTTTTATCCATTCATCTACTGATGGACATTCGGGCTGTTTCCAGATCTTAGCTATTGTAAAAAATGCTGCTACAAACATGGGGGTACATATATTCTTTATGATGAGTGTTTCAGGCTTCTTAAGGTATATTCCTAGAAGTGGGATCACTGGGTCAAATGGCAATTCAATATTTAATTTTTTGAGGTAACACAGTATTGTTTTCCATACTGGCTGCACCAGTCTGCATTCCCATCAGCAGTGTACTAGAGTCCGTTTTTCTCCACAACCTCACCAACACCTGTTGTTTGATGATTTGTTGATGGTGGCCATTCTGACAGGTGTGAGGTGATACCTCATTGTTTTAATTTGCATCTCTCTCATGATTAGTGATGTTGAGCATTTTTTCGTATGTCTCTTAGTCATTTGTATGTCCTGTTTGGAGAGGTGTCTATTTAGTTCCTCTGCCCATTTTTTAATTGGGTTCCTTGTCTTCCTTTTGTAGATTGTATGAGCACTCCATATATATTGGAAGTTAACCCCTTATCTGATATATCATTGGCAATTATGCTCTCCCATACAGTGGGTAGCCTTTCCATTTTCATGATTGTATGTTTCGCTGTGCAGAAGATTTTTAGTTTGATGTAATCCCATGTGTTCATTTTCTCCTTTGTTTCTGTTGATTTAGGTGAAGTATCAGTAAAAATTCTGCTGCATATGATGTCTGTAACTTTGTTGCCTACGTTTTCTTCTAGGATTTTTATGGATTCATGAGTCACATTTAAGTCTTTTATCCATTTTGAGGTTATTCTTGTGTATGGTGTAAGTTGATGGTCTAGTTTCATTTTTTTTGCATGTAGCTGTCCAATTATCCCAACATCATTTATTAAAGAGTCTGTCTTTACGCCACTGTATGGTCTTGTCAACTTTGTCAAATATTAATTGAGCATATTGCCTTGGGTCCATTTCTGGGTTCTCTGTTCTGTTCCACTGGTCTATATGCCTTTTCTTGTGCCAGGACCAGGCTGTTTTGATTACACTAGCTTTGTAGTATAACCTGAAATCTGGTAATGTGATCCCTCCTACTTTGTTTTTCTTTTTCAAGATTGCTGTGGCTATTCGAGGTCTTTTTTGGTTCCATATGAACTTTTGAAATATTTGTTCTAGTTCTGTGAAGTATGCCGTTGGTATTTTGATGGGGATTGCATTGAATCTATAGATTGCTTTGGGTACTATGGATATTTTAATGATGTTAATTCTTTCAATCCATGAACAAGGTTTGTGCTTCCACTTTTTTATATTTTCCTCGATTTTATTTTTCAATGTCCTATAGTTTTCTGAAAATAGATCCTTTACTTCTTTGGTTACATTTATTCCTAGGTAT